TTACAGGCGGTAACTCTGTGGAACCGGCTTTGTTTTTTTAGTAGATGCAATGTACCCACATCTGAGAAAACCCGGACTGAAGCGGGAACTTCGAGATATGGGTTACCAGGTGTTGGTGAGTTTTTTTGGGGAGAGATACAGATAGTGCCCAGGCGGAGACGCCGAGGTACGATCTACGTAGATGCGATAGTACTTATTGAAGTAGAGCTGCAGCTCTCGACACAGACTGAGTAGCAGAGGAGAAGGTCTGTAGCGTGATTTTCTTCATGCTATGATACGATGTGGTTATGCTACGAGATGTAAGCCTCTAAACTGCATTGTAAACTTCTATCTTATCTTATATGAACTTGACCCTGTGGTAGATGATGTGGGGCCTTCCTCTTCGTCGCGACACCAGCCGTGGCTCCAATGTCTGCATATCCATCCGTGGCGGGAGGATGTGACTTCCTCCTGCCCTTGAGTTTTGGCACTGTGTAAGGGATTAATTGTTGGAAGCATGAAACTTACGATACCTCTTTAGATGTGCACGTATGTTGATGTGCACGTATGTTGATGAGGTAAGAAGGTTCAGCTAAACCATCACCAATGCCTTTTTTTTTTTTTTTTTTTTTTTTTTTTCAATTTTAAGGAGAGACCGCCTAGGCTAACAAGGTCACACACCTTGCTTTTCTTCCCCCCACTCCTTTTGTGTAATGAATAGTGCGAGTTTATGGTAATGATTGGTGTGTACGTGATCCTCTGCCCCTACTCATCTTTGATGCTCGAAATGTCACTGGGCGAACTCAGCCGAGGACAAAACCAGGTTGGGGGAAAAACATTTTCTTGTATGGCTGAACTATTGTTTTGATGACTTTGATATAATGGGATTTCCATGTTATTTTGCTTTTACATAGGACTAACTCAACTCTGTTTTTGCCTCCTTTCTTCCCTCGAATGAAACTGACACCCGTGCTCCTGTTCCGATCACGTCCCTACGAAATCCGATCAAACTAAAAGAAACGAGCGGGGTGGTGACTCAGACAGAGATGAGGAAGACGTCACATTATCCAATCATTCACACACACACACACACACACACACAGACACACACACACACACACACACACACA